GGGGGGGGGGGGGGGGGGGGGGGGGGGTCACGTTTTTCGTTCATCTGTCACGTTTCTTCTGCGCTCACAGATGCTGTGTGAGTGTGCAACGGGCGTTGAAAACGATTTCTGTGGTTTTCCTGCAAGTTCTCGCCCGCGATCAAACCCAACACTTACGGAAAGCGCGTTCTGCGTTGCTGCGCCTTCCCCCAACGCCTCTTTAATCCTGTCGATTGTTTCGGTTGAGAAGATTTCGGTCAATCGAGCCGCGAAACAGCTGGGAATCGTGTGGGATAAGAACAGCGACATGAGATACGAGGAGAGCACGGGCTACGGCAGGGGGGTCATCGCCGGCCTCGGCAGCAGCAACAACAGCACAAGCGGCGGTGGTGGCGATCTTTTCATAGGGCAAACCGGCCACGGCGTTGTCGTCGGTAGGGGGACACGGGAAGTAGAGGCACCGTTCAGGGTGATCTTGCTCCCCCACAGCGCGTACACGAGGCGCTGCGGTAGAAGGACGCTCTCGAACCAGACCACGGTGGTGGCTCACTGCTACTTCCCCCAAAAGGAGGCGGGCGTCAAGACTTCCTGGATGAAGAAGGCCAATCTGTGGTCGGTGCAGGACGATCCCTGAAGTTTTGCGCTGTGCCCGGTTGAGGAGAGTTGAATGGGTGAGGAGGCCGGAGCCTGCTGCTTGATATTGTCAGCAGGAGCGATCGAGAGCGCCGGGGCGAGGAAAACTGGGAACAGTGATTTACTGCGTCTTCGACGCACACAGTCGAGCCTCACTGTTGCGCGGCAGTTGAGTGCTCTACGGGCGTTCTTTGCTGCAATGGTGTTAACGAGATCATTTTCATGTCTCCGTACAGCTTAAAGTTGACAAGTGTCGTGCAAACAACGTGTAGATCGGCCTTCCGTTGCTGTAGCGATTAGAATTGTTGTAAATACGAGTACGAACATGTAGGCCGGGGCTGGTAAACGCAACTGGCACGCATTTTGTCCGCGGCGAGGGGGGTCATCTTTCGGCCCGTGTAGACCTCGTCACCTCGTCAAGCTGCCCGAACGGTTATCATCGCTTCATGTTACCTGGGAAAATAATGAGAGGTACTTCGGTGAGCGGTTGCGGCGGCAACGAACGGCTGTCGTACAGCAGCTGCCCTCTTCCCATTGTTGTTGCTCAGTAATCATCGGAAAGGTTCTTTGTCGTTTCGCTCTAACCTTGAACATACACGTTATTGTTCTTGAAAACATAGAAGAGCGTTCGGTGGCTACCACGATAGTAAGTGGACACGGCATCACCCCCCTATCTCACTTGAACGCGAAACGAACGAGTTTTCTCCGTCGAGAGGGTTGAGCGTGGACATCGCTCCCCCCTACCCGCTTCCCATGGCCTTACGCCAACGAAACAACGCCGCACACACGGCCCATCATCCACCAACACCCACCCGAACACAAAACACCCCCCACTAAAAACACACGTCGTACCAATCGATCACCAACCAAAGTGTCCACCAAAATATCAAGAGCGAATCAACCAACTCACCCAGGTGGAAAAAACAACAAACAAACAGCCCAAACCACACACCCCGGTGAAGCATTCACAGCACAAACTACCCTCCAAACCCTAGTCCGTCGCGCGCGAAGACTTCCCTCCAGCCAGCCCTGTCCCATATCGCGTCGCCCCCCCCCCCCCCCCCCCCCCCCCCCCCCCCCCCCCCCCCCCCCCCCCCCCCCCCCCCCCCCCCCCCCCCCCCCCCCCCCCCCCCCCCCCNAGCATCGCCGCCACGAGCGCCAACACCGCCACGAACATCGCCCGGACTCCCGGGTCAGGAGCGAGGGCGTAGCCGGCCACCGCCCCGCTCCACCCCACGATCAGAACGTCGGCCACGCCGTCTCCGTCGAAGTCGCCGAGCACAGGGCGCTGGGAGGGTGGGGCGGCGAGAGGAATGGATCCGGCCAAGCGGCCCCCTCGGTCGTACACGCACATCTTGTCCTGGTGATTTGAGGTTGCCCCCCGCGGAGGGGGGGAAGGAGGGGGGTACTCATAGTCGTGCATGCCGAAGTCGTCGTTAGACCATTGACCTCGCATCCCTACAAAGCCGGGACGGAGCACGCCGGGTTCTCACCGGACCAGGCTCTCACATCACCAAGCGCGAAGCGCCGTGAGGTATTCGGCGAGTCGCATGAAGGGTGCGCTGCATCCTGCTAAGGGTGTTCGGCATCTTGTGCTTACTTCCTTGCGTACGGATGACAGCTGCGTATGACTTCATTTATTTTCTGGTGCTTTTCACTTCCAGAGACAGTTGTAGGCGCCGTGTAACTGCCTCGAGGGTGTTTGACCAATTTAACACAACGTGGTGCGATTATCTCCTTTGAGCGGAGTGAGGGTTCTCGACCCCACACAACATGATCTACTCGACCACCATTACGAGTACCGCAAAAAAAAAGCGGTAACCTCGTTGCCGAGCTCACGAAGCGATCGGCTTGTGTTACAACATCGCTGTCAAGCGACGAAAACCCAACCCCGATGGCAAACACCGGGGTGGGCGGCTTGTTTTACAACGTCGTTACCAAGCGACGAAAACCCAACCCCGATGGCAAACACCGGGGGGGGGGTCGGGGCACCTCAGACGGGTATGTGATGTGAGTCGTGCGCGCATGGGTGTGAGAGCGACGCGGAGGAATGCCGTCGGGGCGGTAGAGGGAGCAGGGGGTGATGACAGTGTATCAACTCTGCAGTTAGCCAAGTTAGCCAAAACAGCAGAAAAACTCAAAAAGAAAGATACAACGATAACAGCGGCAGCAGCTGCCGCCGTGGACAGCGGATGGGAAAAAGGGTTGCATCCTGTGACGGGACCGTTCTCCGAGATTGCTGAAAAAGAAACAAAAATGCACGACGAAGTGCTGTTGTTTTCGCGTGCGGATGACGGTGCAATGCGGCACGCTTCACGTCGTAGGGGTCCACGGGACGACCGAGGTAGCTAAGGGAGATCCTGCGGCGACCTCCGGCCTGTTCTGGCCCCAAGTCGTATTCCAGCAATACGCCCCTGGCGGCTCATAGTGTGTCTGTGGCGTGCGATCTCTCACCTGCCCCAACACTAGAATTCGCTCCTCGGCGCCAGGGGGAGGGTTGGTAATCCTTCGCCGGCCACGACCAAGCCACCCGACCTCCAGGGTGAAGGGGACCACGTAGCCCCCCCCGTTGCTGGGGTCTCCACCTTCGGCGCCTGCTCTCGCGAAGATAGCCGACGGCGATGAAGGATGAGGGCAAAGGGGCGACGGGTGACGAAAACGAGCGATTTGCTCACATACAACGCCCCCCAAGCAGGGGCCAGTAGCAACGGAAAAACGGGAGGTTATGTGGATAAAATGATGCTACATGAGCAAGTAACGACCAAGTGTATAGCAAATATCGGTCGAGTGGTTATGCGAGGCACCGAGTCAGACCGGTGGTTATCACGACAAACCTTCAACGACGCACAGTACAAACAAACCAGAGAGACAAGTGAACATAATTGTCACGCACATATCACATATGTCGGGGGATTGCTCGCAGATTTCGAAAGTCGTGACTCGGCAAATGCGCGAAAGTATCCGAGACTCGGAGAGAGAGAGAGCTGTCCTGAGCAAACGCTTGTACATGGCAAATCCTCGGTTCGTCACCGACAATTCCACGACCTATTACAACACATGCACACCAAGCTCCACATTTCTCCTCGGCCATACATAAGGCCTATTTTTTTCGTCCCTGAAGCACCCCACATGCCCACAAGCTTGGTACAGCGCATCACTACTTCTTCACGCCCAAACAGGGCCAAAACCGTTGGGGCCGGCCGGCCGGTCGACCCCCTCAGCCGACTAAGGCAAGCAGCATCGGTCATATATCAAACACCCCACCTTTCCGGGTCCACTTGGGCCCACGGCGATCCTGCCACTTTAGCCGCCCCTCGTCGTCGTAGCTGCTCACTACCCCGCTGCTCACGGCAAACACCGCGTCGAAGCGCGCGGGACCCTCTCCCCCCCCCCCCCCCCCCCCCCCCCCCCCCCCCCCCCCCCCCCCCCCCCCCCCCCCC